GCAGTGTAAAAGTAAAATGAGGCTGTAATGTGCACATTTTGCAGCTACACGAGGATACATTTTGTACCTTTGGTACAAGCAGGTCTTACTATTGCTCACTTGTAACATTAGACTCTGGAATTAAGCTTATTTTAGCTCATGCAATTCATTTAAAATGCACCGTATACCTAAGCAGACTGTAGTGCTTGTACAATACAGCGTATCTGGTGTACTAGACCTTTTATGTGAGGATGCTTGGAGGAATTCTTCTCTTAGTTTCTTAACAAAAGCGCTGCCTTTGTGAGATATTATGTCATTTCTGTTTGGGTTTTCTGAGTGAAGAAATGCACATGAACGGGGAATAACACTGAGTGATGTCTTGCTCTGCATAGAAATGAAATGCATTAGTGAGATTGCATAACTGAGACAAAAAAGAAGAGGGAGTCCCTGAAGGTAGTGAAGCTTTTACTCCACAATGTTTTCAGACTATTGTTAATGTACTTATTTTTTTCCTTTGGCAGTTGCGCAACGGCTTTTTGTTTCTACAATAACATGTTCCTTCAAAACAGTACGTCCCAGAGGGCAGACATGGAACGAAGTGTCCTGCAGAATTTGTAGAAAGCAGGTTTAGTTGTGATTTCTCAATCAAAAATTAAGAAAAAAAAGCTGGCAAAGAACATGATTAATTATTCTGTGGCCTAGTTTGTGGGAAAGAACATAAAAAGATATTGATCTAGTTTTGTCATTTCCTTAATCCTAGCCAGTCTTTTAGGTTGGTATTAAATGAGCATGAAATTCTTTTTAATTTTAATTTTAAGCACTCACTGTCTCAACACAGAGCGACCAGCTAATTCCTGGAAAGAGTGATAAGACAAAAAGTTCTGAGGGACTCATAGCACTCCACAGATGATTGCAATCCTACAGTTTATTTGATTACAGTATGACAATGTCTAAAATTATAGTTGTTTCCCTCCAGATCCGAACTGTTCTGCCAGATGGCGTTCTGGAATATAAAAATTAATCAAAACTTACACAGGCAGTTTTTGCAGTGGCTATTAAACATCACTGTTTTCATTCTGCTTAAAAACAAATGTGCCACTCACAGAAACCACATTAACCCAGACTGTGATCTCACCAAACAGTGACCAGGTAGTTTCAAGAAGTTCTTCTTCTGTGACATTTCCTCCATTAACAAACAAATTAACTGCAAAATCGGCAGTTAAGGAGGCAGCAAGACTGAAAGCTGAATACAGCAGCATCTGATGCTGGCTGCAATCTCATCCTCTCTCTGTGTCTGTCTGATATAGTGTGAGTGTATCTCAGGCAGCGAGGTGCCAATAAGGGCTCCCCTTACACAGAGAGACTTAGTGCAGCGCAGGCACAACGGGCTGCCCCGCCGGTGCTGGCACATCAATACACTGACCGTACCACCCACCTAATGCCAGAGGTTACGATTCTTCAAAATCAGTCTGCGATCGTTTGCATGGAGGGAAAATAGCCTGTATTTTTTTTTTTTTTTTTTTTGGCTCTTGTCTTCCAAATGCATTGTTGCGTGGCTTCACACAGTGCACAGACACCTCAGGTCATGCCCACTAGCAAGTGCAGTGACAACAAGAGGAGAGGAAGGGGAGAGAAGCAGGTGGCGAAGGAGCAAAAAAGGAGAGGTGGAGGAAGAGATGGAGGAAGGTGAGAGAGGAGAAGAAGACAGAGGACAGAGGAGGAGGATGAGAGGACGGGCCAGCAGACAGGAGAAAAATAAAGGCCGGTTTTCTGCACGTAGCTGGCTCAGTGCGGTTCATATGCCTGCAGGTATCTCTCCCTATCTCTGACCTTGAGCGCTTACCTCAGGACAATCATAACTTACGCCAACTCAACACAGTGAGCAGACAGAGAGAGAGAGCTGACCCAAGCACATCTCTGGAGGAAATCACCCCCACCCAGGGGGCTTTACGCTGCCAAAAGCATTAACTTCCAAAGGTTTTTTTTTTTTTTTTTGTCCAACGCAGCATGCAATCAAGCAAGAAAGCAAGCACTGGCATTGTTTGTCTGATGAGTCTGTACGCTACACATCTCTCTTTCTCTGTTCACCACCTCAGTTGTTTTTCCTCCCTCTGCTTTGTAGCTACTCTGCCTTCTCCTGCGCCTTGCTGTCTTTTCCTATCGTCTGTTTACTGTGCTTTTTTTTATTCATTCCTACCATGGGAGGATTTTAGTTTCCCGCAAAGCTGTGATTAAAAGACAGCTATTGATTCTGCCAGAGCTTTTAAAATGATATGGAATTAAAGTGGGGGAAAGGAGAAGTAGGTGAAAAGAGGATAGAGAAGTAGGACAGAGGACAAAGGGTAGATGGGGAAAAGCCTCTTGGTGCCACTGGTTACTCTTTTAATATCTCATTTCATTGCTCACATATCCAGAGCTTTATATAGGGAGTAGCCCAACCCAAAAGAGCAAGTAGCGGACCTGTAAATCAAAAGGAGGAATGACGAATAAGACTAAAAATAAATTTAAAAAATGTAAAAACCGGACTACATAACCGTGGCGGTTATGCGTGTCCTTGCAGACATTCCCTCCTGTCCGCCTTTCTGCTTGTCAGAAACCAGGGTGGCTTCCTCTCAAGCATCGCAGAGTGGGAGTGCTTATCAAGAATTAATGACGCCTTTCAGACGGAAACTTAACAAGCCATACTTATCAGACATCTCAAAAGTACGACTCCTGGTGCTCAATAAGCTCAGGCTTTCAAATTATGATGAATGAGACGCTGAAAGTACCTGATGAGTCATCTTAGATTAGCGCTTGTGGTTTGAATGAGCTTGTACAGTGTTGAGGCAAAGACTTCCTCGACCCCCAAATGCGGCGAGGCGAACAAGAAGCTGCCAAGAGAGGAGAGCTGCGCCCATAAAAGTTGAGCTTGGACCAGTGAGCAAACTACATTTTCCTTTTAGCAACATCAAAGGGTGAGATGACGCAGATGCAGGCTTGAGAGTGTTCCTCAGTGGGCAACACCTTTCTGAATGCATCTGCAGACTCTATCCAGAGCTTTCTTTAATGGCCGACGCTGGCCTCTCTGTGTGTCTGTGCATTCACTAATTTAATGGACACGACACAATCACCATAAAAACAGATGGGTGACACAGAGTGCACTACAAAATCATTCACATGGCTGATATGGCTGATGCTAATAACCAGTGTTAAATACAAGCCTTTGTGGAGACGACCTGCTGAAGTGGAAATCATCAAGTGTGCTTTAATTTTTACACAGCAGCTTTTTGTATACATATTTTAAAAATGGAATATATTTTGTCAAAGTGACTCAGTTCTAAATTTAAGGCAGTCTGAACTGGGAATCCCATGATCGTGACATTTCTGGAAAAGTTATGAAATTAGAAAGAAAATGTTATCTAGGCCTGGAAACTTTGGAATTAATGGTTTTGAATATAAATCCTCTGGCTATTATTTAAAATATGTTTATGAAAATCACGAAACATTTCAAATGTGAAGCAAGATACGTTCCTTGTAATAAACCAAAATCTAGTGCTGCACTGCATAACTGTTAAAATGACGCTAGTATCACGTGATACTCATAGAATATCTATATGTGTAGGTTGATGTCCAAATAAGCAATATCCAGCCAGTGTGTTGGGTCAGTGATCCAACTGGAGGGGGAGGACTGGAGTGACGTGACGCCAATCTAGGGCTGCCCCCTAATAGTCGACCAAACGTTAGTCGACCAGAAAGGTTATTAGTCAGCAAGGTTTCATCGGTCGCTTAGTCGCAGAAAAAAAAGAAGCAAATTTGAAACTCTATTAGGAGCTGCACTTTGTCAAAATAAATCAAAACCTATATGACTCAGCAGTCAGACAGGAGTCACGTTACAAACCAAACGCTGCCAACAGATATCTTTCCCTTCTTCTGTAAATATTCAGTCTGATAAATACGGAAAAGTTGATCATGTTAGTGCAGGGCTACCCAGAGCTTTACATCTGTCCCACAGACGATAGGCCTACACACTTATAAACAGCGGCTGGGAGAAGATCTGCTCTGCACTAAGGATTTCAGATAAATAGGCTATATGCTGCTTGTTAAGGATGCTTAGCAACTTCAGACACAACCTGCTGCTGCGCTCTAGAAAGTTTGCACAAAAAAGGCACAAGAGTAGCGCCTAATTTCCAGGGATGGTACCTGCGGTTATTCCACAGGCTAGTTAATAACATGTCGGGCAGGAAATCCAAAGTGTGGGATCATTTTGAGAAGGTGAAGGACGAACCCAAGGTGATATGTAAACTCATCTTCATTGGTCGACTACAAACATGATGTATCATCTGAAACATGTCAGTAGCTACATGCCCATTAGCCACTTAGCACAATCATTATTGCTTTGCTGACAGCGTCATTAACAGGTGGCTCGCTCAGTGTGTGACGTGCACTTGTAGATAAAATATAGGCCAATATTAATGAAGGTTCATTAGTGCAGTTTTGTATTTCTCTGTAATGTAGCACAGTGTTAACAATGTTACTGATAGTATTCTTTCTCACACCTTCAACTCAAACCATTGTGTTGCCCCGCCCAAAATATATAATTCAAAAATCAAATTAATATCGTAAACATGCAGGCTACTAGTCGACTAATGGCCCTAAATGATGACTATTGGTCAACTAGGAAAATTCTCAGTCAGGGGCAGCCCTTTACCAATCAACCTCAATTTATTACTGTGTCACATACGTTCAAACAGGATACAGTTACAGAAAATGTATGAATGCATTGCTATATAGCCTACCCATTGTCAACTACTTTAATAAAGTCATGAAAACGGGGTAAAATATATGGAAAAGTTATGGAAACGTTTAGAAAATTCATCAGTAAAAATGTGTGGAAAGTCAGTTTGAATTCAAAAAGAAGCTCAAATGGCAAATGACAAGGGTCATTTGCCACTCCCAGCAAACCTTCAGACTTAATTGGTACACAGACAAACGCTGTATAACCACACATTCATCTACGTATTGGCTAAAGCATGGTGGCTTACCAGAAGTTGACCAGGAAAGGATGTTCCAGGTTCTGCATTATCTGCAGCTCTTTCAAGACATTCCTCACTTCGTTCCGTTCCACACATTTCAGCTTGTTCATGTACTTCATGGCGTACATCTTCTTAGTGTCCTTCTTCTGTACAATGCAGACCTGATGATAAGATCACATAGGGGTAAATTCCTTCAGCGCTGTGGTCAAATGATGTGAATGCTTTGTCTGTGTTCTGCTTGTACATCTCTGTCGTCTGCCTCAGTGCTTTCAAGTCTGTCATATTTTGCTCTCTGCCAGCTATAAAATAAGCTACAAGATAAACAGCAGGATAACACATGTTAAATATCGCCTTTCCTCTCGGGCAGAGTTATGTAATTTAAAAGATGTAGCCACAAAGTAAAGACATGCACCATTCCTCCATGTTTTGTCCTTATATTATCAGTTGCTAATCTGCATACTTTTAAAGATGTCTCGAAAGATAAATGAGAATAGAATAACAGAATAATTGTTGTGCTGATACTCTGTTGGACACTTTGACAAACTGTGTTCTTTCGCAAAATGTTGCACTAGAGCCATGTGTTTTCCATCACCCATGTTCGCCTAAAGCTTTATTGCTTGTGACACATGAAGTGTTATAGTGCAATAACCAGAAATGTTGTCCATCCAACAAGGCTGGGAGGAAACTTCAGGATTTCTCTTTAATCTATGCGATCAGGAATTTAATCCCCTCTTAAGACGTTAAACTTTTCACACCAGTATGTTTTGCATTTTAGAGATGGGAAACGTCACGTTGGCAGTCATTAGAATTGCTGATGCGTGTCAGTAGGGGATGTAGTCAGTTCTTTAAAACGCTGCTTTAAAATCCTTTTTAACAGCACTCATTGTATTTGCATCATGACTCTGATGTGACGCATCAATACGCAGAACTTAACACCTGCTTCAGTCTGCGTGGATGTCATTGCGTGTTTACATCAAACTCTACGCGATTGCCCCCTTTTGACAATGCGTCTGAGAATGGACACTATTTTCAATATGCAGAGGAGTAATACCCCATATTTATTTGTAGTCGTGCTTGTCTGTGCTTCAAGCGTCAATAAGCCAGTGATTACTGCTATCTAAGAGAGTGATCTGTGGACCAGCTGGCATGGTTAATCAGCCAAACCCTGATCGCATCACTCCTCCCATTGAACAGCTTGCCATCTACTATGATTAGACTGCTTATCTGTTGTTGGACAGAGTGTAGATGCCTTGTGGGTCTGTGTGCAGTGTGTACATGTGAGCGTGCATGTGCATCGCTATATGTGCTCGCATGTGCTGTGAGTGCCGATGTGAATTACTCTGCACTGCATGGCTTAGCAGCGAGAGGAAACATGACTGCTATCACCTCAGATTTGTTTCTGTGGAGCTGTTGGTCGGGCTCACGCAAATTAAACTGGAAGGCTTTACTGGGCTGTGTGTGATGATACTGGACTGACGGAGGGGATGTGGTATATTGTCTTTAACATGTTGTGCCTGACGTGCAACTATTTTGATATTAGATCAATAATTGAAGTCATTTTTCAAACAGAAGTGCTTGACCTCCCCTGCTTCCAGCTTCTACATTTCATTGTGTGGTATAAACTGCTGAGGTTTTTAATGTGTTTATGACAGTAAACCTCTTGAACTGTGTGGTATGCATTTGCCACTGTATTGCTGCTTTATTTTCTAATGTAATGATAAATTGAATGACTTCAGATTTTGGAGTGTTGCCCGGACAAAACAAGATATTTGATGATATCACAGATCAAATGAATAATGTATAAAATAAGCAAATTAATAAGTAATGAAACTAAAAAGTAGCTGCAGCTCTAGAATCACATGAACAACATGATATTTGGATGCATCCTGTGGTCGTGGCTGCATTTGAAAATCATTAAAGTTTTCTTTCATATGTATTGCCAGTTTTATTGGTATTGTTTTTAAGTGCGTCTCTTATGAATGGCCTTTTATTATTGGATCTGTTTTACATATAAAGTTTGTGTTTTAACTTACTGGATATGCGGACTCCTGAGCAACACTAATGTCCTCCTGGAGTATGTGTTGGTGTCAGTGCCAGTAGTTTTGTTGTGTTAGAATGTCCTTTCTATGTCTTTAGTTCTGACCTGTTTGAGTTATTTCTTTGTCATTTTATTTTTGTTTTGCATGAGATACTAATCTAGTCCTTCTTTTCATATTAATTAAAATCATATACAGTATCATAAAGCTTAACAAACTTAATATCTGCGTAACATGGGTAAACTTTACACAAACATGGACTTACTTTTCCAAAGCTTCCTTTTCCTATTGCCCTCAGGATCTGGAAGTGGTCGAAATTCACTGTAAGACAGAAGAGTAGAAATCTCTGTTAATCTATACAAAACAGTAGCCAGGGTCCAGACCTTTAAATCTGCCCACTCCACTGAGTTCAAGTTGCCTGATTCATCTGGCATAATGACATGAAACCATGGGGACGGGGAAGTGGGTGCTGAGGGTGCTACAGCACCTATTGACAAAGGGGGGAACAACACACTCAATAAAAATTTGACTGTTTTACCATGACTAATAGCCGAACATTTGTTTGAAATTGAACAGCATAATAATGTCCCTGTTAGAAAATATGTGAAAAAAAGAAATCTGTGGTTAAATTAATTCCTCCAACCTGATGTGACACTGTCATCCAGTCAGGTCTAAGTGCAAGGGTCAGGGTCATTCGTGGGTCAGCTACACTTGGTGAGGGATTTGCAGTAGCGGGAGCTGATCAATAGTGTGAACAGGCTGAACTAAACAGGCTGAGAAATAACAGAAAATTTCCACGAAAGCTTTTCTGGTACTGCTTTTACGATCCATAAAATATCTTGGCAGCAAAGGACTTCCACTGTGGAGGCATAGTAGCCTGGAAATCCAGACTCAAATCTAGAAAGATTTAGGGTCTGGCCATGAGTAATGAAAATGGCCCAACTCGAGGGGTGGCACCAAGCATGCATTTGTAAATATCACTGCATGCAATTGGATAACACTATGACCAATCAGAACAATACACGGGGTGAAGTATCCAGAGCTTAGCTACCAGCGGAGCTAACTGGTAGATAAGACTCTTGCCATATCCAGTTGGCAAAACAGCAAAAAACGTCCTTCTTGCAAAGAGCGCCGTCTTCTGTACCTCTTTTAGAGAGAAAGCAAAGTCTAACTCGTTCATTGTAGCGGCCAAAGCTGTTTCACACAACTGGTGTTCATCCGTAGCCATCTTGCAATGTTTACTGACTGATTCCAGACTTTGTCGTTGCAGCGCTGTCGTCATCTGTTTAGCTCACCTCTGGCCCGCCTATATCAGATACACCGATGAGATTGGTGCAGCTCGGCTACAAGGGCATGGGTAATGAGCATCATTACTGATTGCCAAAGTGACTCGCTGAGCAAATTCAAATTGTGCTCTAGCGAGAACTCTGGATTTCCAGGGTAGAGACATAGCCATCAGGATAGAGTTTTATGGCAGCTAATAATGGGGCGGGCAATAGGCGGACGTGACATTAGAATTTGCCCAGGGGACGCAAATGGCTTCAGTGGAGAGACAACTGGACAAAAAACAAACAAACAAACAAACAAACAAACAAGGAAATTACCTTAAAAAAGTGATGCTTAAAAATTATGATAATTCTGTCATGTAATTTTAAAATGTAATAATAATAATATTAGAAATATAGTTTTTCCCTAGCTCTTCTCTTTTTTCCCTAGTTATTTTTTTCTAAATCGTAAAAAGAAATTGCAATTTGTGGGACATTTAACCAACTCGCCCGTCCCCTTTTTACCTATGTTTTTTAAAGAAAACACATCAATCTTCTCAAGGTTCAAAGGTTCAAATACTTGCAAAAGGCATCTGAAAGCAGCACACGAAAAGTGATGTGGCTGCAGGGGTTGAAAGAACAAAACAACCAGTGAGCTTCAAGGGCTGACTCAATTAGCCAATCAATGCCACGGGTGTAACTAATGTCATTGTGAAGTTCTTGTCAAGTGGTGCGGTGGAACCAATAAGGATTAATAACAACAATGGCGAACGCTATAGACAAGATAGACACTGCTATCCAGGCTGTTCTAAATCAACACATTTTCGCAGTATCGCCCAACATCGTAGTTTGTCTTACTTCACTTTGCTTGACTATTAAAGGCTCAGTAAAACAAGTATGTTGGCATGGTGACACATCAGTGTGGACTTAGGATAAAGTTAGGTGGTTAGGGAAAATCGAATCCTCCTCTCCTCAGGAATTATTTAAAGTAGACCCAATATCAGACTGAAGATGGACAAGTTCTGACCTGATATCCAAAATGTTTTTTTCTGAAAATTACAGTGTACTTTCTTTCTTTCTTTCTTTCTTTTTTTTTTTTTTTGGCCATTTTGCCTTTAATGGACAGGACAGGTAAGCATGAAGGGGGGAGAGAGAGGGGGGATGACATGCAGCAAAGGGCCACAGGCTGGATTCGAACCTGGGCCGCTGCGGCTACAGTGTACTTTCTACCCCACTTTTAAAACAAGTTGATAAAGCTTTACAAGATCAACACTAGATACACATATTTGCTATAGTTTAAGCATTTGAAAAGTTGCGTATTTCAGCTTCAAACTGTAGCCTACACACAGGCTAAAATGACACTTTGAAATGAAACTGGGTCATTAGAACACTATAAATGGAAATAGATAAATATTAAGTGTCAGTACGGTGTCATTTCATAGGTTATCACGGGGTCATCAGTACAATGAAATGTATTGGATGAAAGAACAGGTCGGCTTAGCAATAAAAGCACATTGTAATAAAGATAAATTACATACATGAAATATAAAATATAGCACTAGATACATATATGAAACTAATGTGTGTGAAAGTAAGTCAGTGACGAGTTTATCCAACAGCTTTGTGCAAATGTAATGAGAAAAATAAATGAGATACTGGATATAAGGGAATGGAATGAGCACTATAGACATACATGAAAAGGAGGATTTGTTACTGTAGGTTCACGGTGAGGTTTGCTTTCAGCTCATTTGAACAATGCAGACAGTCAAGCTGAAGCAGATGGAGGTCTCCAGGGCAACCACAGGTCACTGACTTTATATAGCAGAGAATTAAAATAAGCCTCAACACAAAGATGTCTTTTATGAGCACTGCATGTTTTCCCACTGAATAAAAGACAGATTTGTATCTCTCTGTTTTCGGCAGCTCAATATCCTCTCAGCCTTTGAAAAATTCTCTCGTCTGCACACTTATTGAACATGAGCTTGGAAACACACACAACCTTAACCAGAGCTCCCTATCTCACTCTCCTCCATCTATCAGCGGCATTTATCGCCAATTGGAAGCGGATTGGGCTGTTTGTTTCTGGCTGCCATGACAACCAGGACAGGAGGTTTGCCCTCTCTGCCGTTTCCCCGAGGACGGAACAGCTGCTGCCCACTCTCTGCTCTCACCTGACCACACACACACAGATGCACACACTTGTACACGTTCACAATCATTCCCAAAAATACACGCGGGAATTAGACACCAGCATTACCTGCTTCTCCTGCAACAGCACAACGTGCACACACACACACACACACACACACACACGCATGCACACTCTGATTCCGCCTGCAGTCACTAGATCTATTGGATGTGACAGTTAATGTTATGTATCAGTGGCACTTCCTCCTCTCACACTATCTGTGTTGGAGTGTTTACACAACCTACTCTGAAAAGGACCATATGACGCCCGCTTTATAACGCACACACACACATGCATGGACTTACAGATGCTATATACCTAACATGCACACAGACACTCCAGATCAGCATGGTTATTTTCCTGCTGAGCTACTTGGAGATTCTACTCTGATGGGTTTTTTCAGAGAGACAGCTGTGGTCGTGGATGAGAGGGCAGAGCTCTGTGATCGCAGAGACAGAGAGAGAAAGGGAGGCAGACACAGAGAGAGTGGGAGGGGGGTGAGATGGAGACTGTCACATTTTACCAGCAGAACCCTGAATGGTTTAATGTGCTGCATTAAATGACAGGCACATGAGTAACAGAGCGTGTAATGATTGAAATCGGCACATGAGTGGAATTGACACATTGACAGCCTTTTTCGTGGCTTAAACTAACTGAGGAAACCGTCTGACCGAGGAACTCATCTGCTAGTCAATTTGGATTTGACTGACACATGCTAATCAGTTTGGATTGAAGTCATCACGCTTGTTCAGTTTGAGGCGCACACAGTCTCTCGTGCCCTCTGTATGACTGTGCAGTACTGTATGTCTGTATCTCTCTGTCTCTGTCTGTCAGAAGTTCTGTGCATCTCTGTCCAAGAGTACGTCCGCACTAAGCCAACGAAGTTTGATAAATGCTCTCATTTTTTGCCCCTCTCATTTACTCAAAAACAGACACATAGGTGGTTGTCTTTATGCTCTCACAGCTCGTACATTTTGGGCAGACAATATTTACTCAGACCCGTAACTTTTAACTTAAGCTTACGCCAGTGATTTTGACGCCTTGTAATGTCTGCAGTGGAAAACCTGAGAACACCAGCTGCAAGTTTTCACGCGGACAAGAAAAAAATGAGCGCTTGGAATATTGTGACAGGAGCTCACAGTGTGTGTCGCAGTAAAGTTAAGAAGACAGTTTGATTTTGAAGCATAAGGCTGGCGCTATTCAGTATATTTTCTTATCGTGAACACATCCCATGAAAAGATGAAAACCGACAATGTGTTTGTCTGTTTCGAAACACGTTCTGACTTCCCTGCCTTGTCTGTTGCACTCAGCCCAAGCACATTGATTCCTACTGAAGACACACATATCTAAAAATGGGCCACAAATATATCATCTCATTTTTAAAAAAGCTTCAGTAACTTATCAAAAACACGAGGCACTGTCGTCTTTAATAAATGTAACTCAAACAGGAGTTTACAGCAAATTGTTCTTTTGTTTGGGACTATTTTCAGCAGTGGATTAACACACATTTGGTGCCTTTGTGAGTAATCTGGCAGCAGAATAGTGTATGTAGGACTGAATCAATATAAACTAGTGTTTGTCTTGTCTTGGGCTTTGAATCCACCCATTCTACCGAGTTCAGGTTAACTGATTCGTCTGACATTGTGACATGAAACAGCGGTTTCTCGGTTAACAAACAAAACAAACAATGAACATGAGGACTCCATTAGCCAATCAGCGTCACGGACGAGACGAATGCCATTGTCAAGGTGTAGCCAAGCATTGTCCAGCAGTGCGCTGTAACCAACGAGGACATAACAACAATGGCATGTGTGATAGATAAAATCGATGTGGCTCTCGAAGCTGATCTTAAATCAACATGTCTTCTCAATGTATATGACATTGCAGTTTGTTTTTACTTTGCTCCACTCCACTCCTAAAACTTTGGCACAATAAGTATATTGGTATGGCTACACATCAGCCTGGACTTAAGTGACGTTAGATTTAGGCGCAAAAGTGAAAACTGAATCCCCCTCCCTCACAGAAATCTTAGAGTGGGTACAGTGTCAGACATTATCATGGTCATAATGAAGGAACATCTCGGCCAGTGCGACACTGTGGCTCATTGCTGTGGGTTTTTTTTTTTCCGCAGTCATAAAATGTGACTTTGATTGACGTCTCACTCAATGCACCAACGTCTCTGCCTGGTTAACAGGTAGCATTTATGAGACTAGACCCTCAGATCACTTGTTATTAGTCATTCAGTTGTACAGAAACAGACGAACATGTAAATGAAAGGTTTGGTTATATCACAACAGGAATGGTATCGTATATGGGAAGTGATGACAGAAAGCGGGTGGGAACTAAACTGAGTTTAACCAGCTGACACTCAAGATGTGTCTTACTCTTTGTTGTATATGACAAAGAAAACTTTTTCTGTTTTTTTTTCTCCTGTAGTTCAAGTGTTTCTATTCAGAAAACACAAATGTCAATTTCAACATCAGCCTGTCTCACTGTGGACGCACTGTCCCCCTCTGTCTCCCCCTCCCTCTCCGCCTCTCACACAGAAGCCTGTAAATCACTTAAAGACCCACCAACGTTGGAACATCAGCGCTCGCGCTGTTGCTCTGACAACTGAAACAGAACCCATGGGTCCATGTGCCACCGCATTGTGAATAAAGCATGATCAGCAGTAAACAGGGTCCGTCCATTAACCAGAGCCTCCTGGTTGCACAAGATGGAAAGGTACGTGGCACATCAGGGAGCACATGTGGCACACACATCACTCTCAGGGGAGATAAACATGTCTTGACAGAGTTCACCTTCACGCACACACCTTTCTGTAAATCAACTATATGGATTGAGTGTGACCTGACTCCAGCAACGAAAGGACTCTCATTTATTCTGCAAATAAATTCTATATATTTTCTTGGAGAAAATGAAATTTAATTATAAGAATAGTATTATAGTGTCTCCTTTTGGACAACTTTTTGACTGCTGACTTTAATGTGAAATATTTATGTATAGGTTGTTTTGTAGGTATGGGTTAATTTGCTTTTTTATTTTATTTACAATATAGACCACAAAAATAAAAAGCAAGGTTTATAAAAATGTCACAAATTAACATGTAGCTATAACTGCCACAAGAGCGTCATTTAATGATCAGGTGAGTCACAATCTCTCATCTGTGTATAAATATGTTTCAATACTAATATTAATTAGGTTGTGTGTAGAAAAGTGGCACATTTCTGCAAACTTGGCCAGATGGTTGGAGCTCAGCTATGTTTATAAATGAGTAAACTTTGATTTATAGCTTACTACTATCAATTATTTTCAAAGTTTTTGAGCTGAAGTTGAAAATGAGCATTAGCTAACCATTTGTGTACATCGAGCATTTATTTTCCAAATGTCAGCATTTATTAGTATTTGCCATTGAATTAACAAACAAACATAAATTTCTACCTCTGCGGCCAACGTTACCTTGAGGCGACCTTTAACGTTCCTGAAGTGTAAAGTGAAAACTTAATTTGCATCTTTAGTGCTACTCAGAGTGAGTGAGCGCACGACATATACTCGACGCGCAGTGACCCGCCTTCCCACGACCTCAGAGGGAGAACCCTGCCCGTGTCAGACGCCAGTTTCATCACTGAGAGGAATTACTTTGTTTCCAGTGAGCTGGCCTCTTTTTTTTCTTTTTCTAATTCAAAACGGCGCGTCTCTGTGTTTATTATTCTCCTGCCCTTGGTGAAATCGCCCACGCTGTTTTGTGAGAGAGAAGTCAGGAAGGTGCACTGTTGCATTAACTCAGAGTTCAGAGACACTCTGTTATGAGTGACATTTCCAGAACAGCACGCCAAATGACTAAGCAGCCAGGTTAACCGTGAATAATGATTGCCTCTTTGATAGAGGGGGGAGACTGGTTGCCTCCAGTGAAAAAGAGAAAGCCGCAGATATGGATTTCATCAAGATGCAATGCTGTTATTTGACACAGCTGGGTAGAAAAAATTGGTTTGTCACAGAATAATGAAACACTCAGCAAACAAAGAAATATTCTAATGATAATTATTGGAATACGAACCTGTCACATGGGTTAAACTGAAAAACGATATTACAGTTTACAACTTAATAAAAGGCAAAGTATCAGATCATCATGGATAGCAGCCACACAGAGACAAAAATCCTCTACGGTAAGGAAACACCTGGGAAAGCCACCTCACTCCTGACTAAATCACTGACTCATGTGACTTATTTGAAGCTCTTGGGGTACAGCCAAAGTGGAATTAATTTCAGAGTCTACCTCAGATCAATAAATTCACATTGTATTATCTACTCGGGTCACAAAGAAAAAGGGAAATAAATTCAAACTAAGAGCTTTGCCAATCAAAGTTATAGCTGCTTTTGATGCTGACCTTGATGACTAAAGAATTTAAGATAATAACCTGGCATGATTCAGGCCATTTGTAATAATAATAAATATAAAGACTTCACCAGCAAAGCTAACAGTAGAGAAAAATGTCCAGAAGAGTTCCATAAATATTTTTAAGAACTGTTTATGTCTACTATGTGTATCTCCGTGTAAGTACACAGTTCTGTGGTCAAACTGTGACTACATCAAGTGGCATTCCCTCTTTTTTCTAGACCAGTGGCAGACTGAATCAGCATTACATCAGTCAGATCCATTTACTCTAAGTGCACTTAATTTTGTTAGCTAATAGGAAATAGCTTAACACATTTATACGGCTGCAGAAAAGATGGACACCCTGGGACACAGCAGTCAACAGCAGTGAGTCCTGCTCACAACTTTTATACCCATTGTCCCTGCTCATCCTCACTAGATCTGAGCTCACAAAAGTAGGGAAACAAAAAAGAAAGAAAAGTCAGATAAGAATGCTGTTGAATGTTTTCTCACTCACCCTCGTCTGTGTCCTCGGTGACCGGAACCTTGCTGGACTGTCCGAGCCCCATGGCTGCTCCTCTTACAGATTCTCCTCTTCTGCTCCCTTAGCTCAACTCAGCATCCAACGCCGGCCTCTCCCTCTGAGACGCACTCATAGCCTGGTCAACACTAGCCCCTCACACACACGCACACACACAGTCTCACGTGCTGGACTGACACACACACATACGCAGCAGCCGGGCTCACTTTTGCTGACTTGATCGGGTCCCGTCTTCCTCTTAGCTTTCCACCTTGACTCTACCACACATCATTGCACACACACAGAGTGGAGGGCTTGGGGGAACACTAAAGGCACTGAAGCGCTGACACACACACACACACACACACACACACACACACACAGGCAGTTCCACTACAGTGTAAGTTTCCCGTCTGTCCTCACTGCTGTTCAGATGAATGCAGGCAGACGGACGACTCTCGCCAGGCAGGAGGAGGAGGAGGAGGAGGAGGAGGAGGAGGAGGAGGGTGGGTGATGTGTTTGTGGCTGTGACCCTCTGTTGACGGAGAGTCTAACCTGTGAGGGGAGGCAGGAAAACATGACACCACCAGCAGAGTGAGGGAAGGAGGGACAGTGAGAGGGAGGGAGAGGGAGGAAAAAGTAATAGAGCCTCTGAGGCATGAAGCCACACAGCATCTAATAATGAACGGAAAGATTGTTGCAGGATATTCTTAGATATTGAAAATAAAAAAAAAGTGTCATTGACTTGATTAGAAATCAACTTGATTGGCCAGCAGGAGGGAAAATGACTTTCATAACTATTTTTACACACTCAGTTCTCCCTTCTGCTTCCCTCCTCTTCCTTCAGCTGTCATCTATCAATTATTTAATTTCTATATTTCCATCAGACACTCGTCCCAGTGGAGCAGCGTCTGCACTGCATGTGTGATGAATGGCATGATGGGCTTTCCCATTAAGAGCATAAAATTGGAGGCTTTTGATTTATAGTTTGCTGGCATTGTGTACTGTAAATGGAATCCCTCAGGCTGCCCTCTTCAGGACGTGAGACTCCATGAGTTACTACTATTTTGTCTCACATAAAAACAAAGTGCTGCCTCATGAAACACATACATATAAAAATAAATCGTGTGCATCTTATACTCCTGTACTAGCCCCATCCTATAGGAGTAAGACTGTCTTAAAGTAAGTTTTTAATGGCATTTGAGTTCCCCATGACAATTCAGTATTGATGTCTCTGCTTTACTCTCCTTTAAAACTGACTGTCAGCTCCTCTCATTGCAATACCTTAAAGGAGAATGAGCTGAGATGCATTTAAGGGTTAAACAGACAAACTTCAAGTCATTGTGGCAACATTTAGTCCGCTAGGGGAAACCCTGTCATGAATGTCATTCTCACACTGTATGATAAGGTCACCTCAGCATATCGGAGCGTCCCTTTAGGGCTGATGAAATATTAAATGAAATGAAATATTCAAAAACTAGTGCGAGGGAGCCGCAGTGCTGAGCTCCCCGCAGAGGACATTGTGCTCTGAGCCCCTTATCTGACCAAATGGGACAAACATGCGCTGAATGGAAAGTGCCCCCCCTCCTCTGCATGCACCCATACACGGCTGCTGTGCTGTGTGGACACCTACCTCTGGACGTGAGTTGAGCATGGGACCATCTCCAGGTTGGTTTTGCTGCAGACATGTGAGGCGACAGGGGAGCAACAGTGCAGCTCAGAGCATCACTTGTCAGGTGCTCGGACGACGACGCACCGGGACACCTGCCACCCCTAGACAAAAAATGGAACCACACAGCGAGACGTGACTTGCGGGATGCGCCGACGGAGTGCGCTGCGAAATGCCTTGTGTGTGGAGGACAGGAGGGCAAAGGGAGCAGAGACGGGGTTTAAGGGGGGAAACTGCTCGGCGCGTTGCACTGATGAGCGACTGACCTCCACATCGCCGCCTGTGTAATGCGTTGGCCACCACCGTGCGTCTGGAGAGGCACGTCTCATAGGCTGGTTAGGCTGATTTGCTGTAGCTGCGGGGCTGAGGTCTCCCTGTCAGTAGCAGTCACTATTCTGAAGTTATATCCCCAGATGCATGGAGAGAAGCCTAAATAGACTCCACACTAATAAAATTACTAGAACATTATGTTATAGAAATATTACAGAGAAGCTATTGTGTCTGTCACTGCTACAAGTTCAATGTAAAGTCAGTCAGCCACTGCAGAGTAACTCAGCCACTGTAGTGATTGTCTTCTGGGTTATAGCCCAAAATTAATAGCTGATTGCTAAAGTATTAATGCTTAATTAGTTTTCTGTTCCCAAAGAACTTGTGCTCTATCTTGTATTTAAAAAATCATAAACCACTGCTGTTATTTTATATGAAGTATCACTTAAATATTCAAATTACCTCATAATAATCTATTAACATTTGTAGGAAATTCTCTCATGTTGCCACCATGGAGTCAGAGGTCATGATCAGCTTTGAAACAGTGCTCCCTAGAGCTAATAATGGTTTGCCCCATTGATGAAAGGCAATTCTGCAAGGCTGTTTTAACCCTTTGAAACCTGAAGCAACATCACCTTTTCTTGTGCTGCTTTCAGACACCTTTTGCAAGTATTTAACCTTCAAACCCGCAGCAAATTTCTTTCAAAACTATGGGAAAAAAGACAATAAGCAACTTGGTAAAACTGGTAAAACTGCAAAAAAAGGTAAATAGATTTAGATAATTATTTAAAAAAAAAAAAAAACTAGGAAAAAAGAACACTATTTAAAATGATTATTATTATTACATTTTAAAATTATGTTGCAGAATTATTAGAATTTCAAGCACTCTTACCAGGTCATTTCTTTGTTTTTAACTTGCTTTATTTTTTTAATTAATTTTCTTATTTTTAATTTTCCCTTTTTGCTAATTTCTTTTCTATTTTTTGGGGGGGTAATTTCTTCTTCTGCTTTGCTCAGGTTTAAAAGGGTTAACCTGGTGGCGCCCCTAGGAGAGGGACAGTCTCTTTATAGACAAGCTGAGCCCGCTGTCTCATAATAGCCTTTAACTTATATGGAAATAGTAATTATATAGGAGAAACAGTGGACTCTAATGTGTCTCTGGTGTTCGATTGTGAGTCTAAACCACATTGTGCTCTGTGTTTTTTTAATCTCCTTAGATTGTATCCTCTGTTATAGCCTCAAATTAATAGCTGATTGCCAACATATCAACAGCCGTATTAGTTGTCTGTTCTCACAGATCTTGTGCTCGTGTCTTGTGTTAAAAAACAACAACATCTAATGCTGTTATTTCCACAAAGTATCATTTGAACACTTTCTAATAATACTCTACTTTTAATTCATCTGCAGGAAATACTTCTCTCTCACGTTGCCACCATGGAGTCAGAGGTCATGATCAGCTTTGAAACAGCGCCCCCCAGAGCTGATACTGGTTTGCCCCGTTGATTAAAAGCACTTCTGTGAGGCCAGTTGCCAACAATGCTGTTTCAACCTGATGATCCCCCCAGGTACGGGACAGTCTCTTTATAGACAAGCTGAGCCTGCTGTCTCATAATAGCCTTTAACTTATATGGAAATAGTAATTATATAGGAGGAACAATGGACACTAATGTCTCTCTTGTGCTCGACTGTGAGTCTAAACCACATTGTGCTTTATGGGATTTTTTTGTTTGTTTATTTTTAAATCTCCTTAGCCATCAATATGACAGTCCTTCATTATTCTTATACAGTACAGGCCAAAAGTTTGGACACACCTTCTCATTCAATGTGTTTTCTTTATTTTCATGACTATTTACATTGTAGATTCTCACTGAAGGCATCAAAACTATGAATGAACACATGTGGAGTTATGTACTTAACAAAAAAAGGTGAAATAACTGAAAACATGTTTTATATTCTAGTTTCTTCAAAATAGCCACCCTTTGCTCTGATTACTGCTTTGCACACTCTTGGCATTCTCTCCATGAGCTTCAAGAGGTAGTCACCTGAAATGGTTTTCCAACAGTCTTGAAGGAGTTCCCAGAGGTGTTTAGCACTTGTTGGCCCCTTTGCCTTCACTCTGCGGTCCAGCTCACCCCAAACCATCTGGATTGGGTTCAGGTCCAGTGACTGTGGAGGCCAGGTCATCTGCCGCAGCACTCCATCACTCTCCTTCTTGGTCAAATAGCCCTTACACAGCCTGGAGGTGTGTTTGGGGTCATTGTCCTGTTGAAAAATAAATGATCGTCCAACTAAACGCAAACCGGATGGGATGGCATGTCGCTGCAGGATGCTGTGGTAGCCATGCTGGTTCAGTGTGCCTTCAATTTTGAATAAATCCCCAACAGTGTCACCAGCAAAACACCCCCACACCATCACACCTCCTCCTCCATGCTTCACAGTGGGAACCAGGCATGTGGAATCCATCCGTTCACCTTTTCTGCGTCTCACAAAGACACGGCGGTTGGAACCAAAGATCTGAAATTTGGACTCATCAGACCAAAGCACAGATTTCCACTGGTCTAATGTCCATTCCTTGTGTTTCTTGGCCCAAACAAATCTCTTCTGCTTGTTGCCTCTCCTTAGCAGTGGCTTCCTAGCAGCTATTTGACCATGAAGGCCTGATTGGCGCAGTCTCCTCTTAACAGTTGTTCTAGAGATGGGTCTGCTGCTAGAACTCTGTGTGGCATTCATCTGGTCTCTGATCTGAGCTGCTGTTAACTTGCGATTTCTGAGGCTGGTGACTCGGATGAACTTATCCTCAGAAGCAGAGGTGACTCTTGGTCTTCCTTTCCTGGGTCGGTCCTCATGTGTGCCAGTTTCGTTGTAGCGCTTGATGGTTTTTGCGACTCCACTTGGGGACACATTTAAAGTTTTTGCAATTTTCCGGACTGACTGACCTTCATTTCTTAAAGTAATGATGGCCACTCGTTTTTCTTTAGTTAGCTGATTGGTTCTTGCCATAATATGAATTTTAACAGTTGTCCAATAGGGCTGTCGGCTGTGTATTAACCTGACTTCTGCACAACACAACTGATGGTCCCAACCCCATTGATAAAGCAAGAAATTCCACTAATTAACCCTGATAAGGCACACCTGTGAAGTGGAAACCATATCAGGTGACTACCTCTTGAAGCTCATAGAGAGAATGCCAAGAGTGTGCAAAGCAGTAATCAGAGCAAAGGGTGGCTATTTTGAAGAAACTAGAATATAAAACATGTTTTCAGTTATTTCACCTTTTTTTGTTAAGTACATAACTCCACATGTGTTCATTCATAGTTTTGATGCCTTCAGTGAGAATCTACAATGTAAATAGTCATGAAAATAAAGAAAACGCATTGAATGAGAAGGTGTGTCCAAACTTTTGGCCTGTACTGTATATTACAGGAGACAATCTTGCAGTTGGATCACCACAGATAAAATACAGCGATCTGCGACTTAAAGCAAATGTCAGCCAAGGATGTTAAGTGCAGGTCAGTGTCCCCTTACCTACCTCTTAACAAGCCCACCTCTGTAAATTGTTTTTATTGGGTTTTGTAGTTTTTACAGAACATAACACAGGTCCATAGATCAGAACTGTCATACAATGATACAGACATTCAAGCACAAAACAATAAAGGTGTAAGAACAGGCTAGAAGTTAAGCAGAATTAATTATACAGCAAGCTAAAACATGGCTTGCAAGCGGACAAAATAAAATACAGAGGAAAACAAACACAATAATAAATGAATTTAAAAGAGGAGAGAGACAAAAAAATAAAGTCACAAGGAGTTAAAATGCAGCATTAGCTAAATAAGCTTTGTAGGGGTCCCAGATCCTTGAGAACAGGTCTGCTTTGCCCGTAAGTGAATATCTGATCTTCTCTAAACTCAAAGGCATCAATAGGTCTCTAACCCAGTGTCAATAATGGAGTGTCAGGGGATCTCCAGTTTAGCAGAATAACCCTCCTTGCAGTAAGTGTAGCTAGGGCCACTGCCCCACGCTGGGATCCAGACAGTGGTGAGCTCACTGGCAAGACTCCTAAAAAAGCAGTACATGGAGAGAGTTTGATATTTTGTTATGTGTATCACAGAGACATGTAAATATCTTATCCCACAGTTTAGCCACTGAGGGACAGGGCCAAAACTGATGGTATAAGGACCATGTTCCATCTTGCCTGTAATGCAGGTGTGGGAAAAATTAGGTTACCTCCCCTACTTCTGGAGCCCTTGCTCGGACCACGCCCATCTACAAACTTGGCTTTCATTTGGCCTCAGCTACACACCTGTAAAGTGTTTTGACTGCGTCTTATACAGTTGAGACATTATTGTGTTGACACAATCTGCTCACAGACAACAAGACAAACACTTAGCTAGATACTCAAAACTTGAAGCTTCTGTGGTAGTTCCTGCTACAGTGGGTGTCACCTGGATCACATTTTACCACGATGACACACACACAGACTCACAAGGTGAAAACAATACCAGCTTTCCCAACATTGTTACAGCTGGTAAAAATACACCATATACTGTAGGTCTGAACAGCTTTCTATGTGAGTAGCAAATATAAGGTGTTTCCCAGTGACTTTACCTATCATCTCATAAAGGTCATACAAAGCATGTCACAACTTAAGTAATGAAGTTAACCTCAAATATAAGATTACTCACACACAGTACATGATGATACAGTTTCACAGCAGCTCTGTGATTTATAACCAGGGCTTTAAACCCACAGTATGTGCTTGCCTCATTGGAATTTGCAGTCTTTGGGCAGATTTCTGTAGTCCAGTCTCTCATCATATAGTAACTTCTGTGGCCATTAACTACTTACTGTAAAACACATCCGTCCATTATAAAGCCTGTCACCTGCGTCCCCTGTTAATTGAGCAGGCCAAGGTCGAGAGGAGCATGGCTGAGTGGTGGGACTGTGGGACTGGAGATATGCTTACGGCGCATACCGCACTTTCTCTTCCTCTCTGTCATGCCAAGACACATTCAGTGTGAGCCATCCATCTTCATACGGCGGCGGGGGACAGACCTCCAACTCTCGACACAGCCCACGAGAAGTGACGAGCATCACTCAAAAGCAGGCCAATCCCTTATCGAGCGCTCGACGCCATCAGGAGTTGTACTCTTCTTTTGGATGAGATGAGTGATGACGGTGTCATATCACACCTGGACAGAAACGGAGTGCAGCTACTTAACATGCAGGTGGCCTCAGCATGTGCCAGTGTTGTCCTAGTTTTGTAATTGAAAATGTTCTTTGCCTGAAAAGAGAATCAGTCATAGATAAGTTCTGGTTTCATTAGATTAAGTTTTGAAATAAAGAATGAAAACAATTTGCAGAACTTCAACATGATGGACGCTGAGACTGCTCGGGAAGCTGTAAGTAGTTTAGATCTATGAAATTAGCCTCATCTAGTGGATAGAAATGACATCACATCACATGACAGCAGCCAGTATTAATGCAGAAAGGGTCTTATGGGAATATAATTTACAGCATAAATCACTTTTATGATCAGCGTTACTGTCAAAGCATCAAAACCACCGTGCTCCCCAATGCAGTAATGCATCATTATGAAAAAAGCTATCATAGTACAAGATATTAAAGCTTTTCTCTTTCTATATTACGGTCAAACATTTGAATGATCTGATCCCTTTTCATCCTCAGGGCTGCCTGGATTCTTTCAGGCAACACATTTCATTACAGTGTGTAAACTCAGTGTGCTTTAAATTAAAATGCATGCAGCAGCAAATAACATGTACAGAAGAAAATAAAAAACAGCAGCAGCAATTCAATTCCAAAGGTGCTCCATACTGAGTTGGGATCTTGAGACTGTGGCTACTGGAGTGAACCAAAGCCACTATCATGTGTTGTAAATCTTTGGGCAGAATCTGCTTAAACTATCAGACAGTACTCAACTGATACAAAGAAATGAAATGTATGGAAGCAGTTTTTATAAAAGATATTTTTGGGGCTTTTTGATAGGACTGATATAATATGAAGGCGGGAAACAGAGGGGGAATGACATGCAGCAGAGGGCTGTGGGTTGGAATTGAGCCTTTGGCCGCGGCTAAACAGACATGCCGTAAAACTTTAATCAAAAGCCTAGTCCCAATTAAATGCCCAGTCCCTTTTACTAGCCTGATGTGGCTACACATTTTGACAAATAAACGCCTGTCTCAATTAGATACCTGGTCTGGTTGCCAAGCAGTTATTTTTTTAATAAAAGACTTTCGGATGTATAAAACCGATTTGTTGGCTACCTTAAATTAGGTGTCCATTCCTCAATTACCTTGTAATTTATTCATATTCCTTTTGTCTGTAACGTGCCTCAGATCCAAAGAATCAAAAGGGTTTTTCATAAATGAATCCAAGTTGTGAGTATTGTTTTAACAGGACTGGCTGAAATATTAAAATAATTTACACATGTATGCATCAATTATTTTATTTTGATATTGTGATATACATTATTTCACCATTGTACAAACAAAAACACAACTTTTACTGGCAGCAGAATATTTCTACACTGTCGTATTGCTACTTTTACTTAAGTAAAATCTGATATAAGAAATACCATACAGAATATTCCTCCCTTTCTGAGGCACATCACTAATTTATGTCTTCCCAGTATCATAATTTATGGACAAAACAATCCCCTCAGGCCTGCTTTGACTCCTTTATAAAGATAAGTGTTGTCTTATCTGGCACAATGTGTTGTCGTCTGTCATTCCTCTGTGGCTGCATAATTATTTTAGAGTAAACAGAGGGTGTGTTTCCAATCTGTGCACATGCATACGTGGCTGCATGTGTGCATCGGTGACACAAACAAACAAAGGTTCAGTTAGTGCAGTAGGTGTCACTGAGTCATGGCGATCTTTAACCACTTGTTGCTCGTTTGGTGTTTGGTGCCGCTGGTGCTGAGCTACCCTTTCTACCCACCGACATGCTACACCAAGGTGCTGCACATGGCACGAGAGCTCACCCAGTGGGCTGCAGATTTGAAGAGGGACCCTGAGACTGTAAGTCAGCTGTGTTTAAAACTGTGTTGTCACTATTATAGATTTTTACTTTAACACTAAAGCTGTGTAATGTTTAAGTGTCCTGTATGTCATATTGTAGTTTTACTTTGATGTTTATATAATGTTTTTTTTTTTTATATTTTATGACAGTATTGGAGATTATAATTAGTTATTTTCTTCCTTCATTTATTTACTAAATACAGATATTCCTCAATTTAGTTTAACCCCATCAACCCCATTTTTCAGAGTATAAAAATTATATCAGATTATTATGCTAATGTTGAATTTTGAAACTTCATGTTGTTGTTTTGCACCCAGACTTACTGCATGGCACGCATGCCAGATCTCATCCTTGATGTCCATGTAAGTATGACTTCACATTCCCCTTGATTTATTGATATTACTAGACTGAATTTGTTACTGTTCATACTTTGAATATGGGAATTTACACATTTGAAAGGTAACCAGAGATTAGATTCAAGATACTGTTCTGACGGTACTTTTAAGCCATCAACCAAAGAACCAAAAACAAAACAAAATGTTTTCTGATCTGTACTTTTAGTCTATCCTTCACACTCTGTTTTGAGTGCTCCGGCTGTCCCAGAATTTTTTTACAATAACATCTGTGGTATTTTGACCTCAGCTGTAAATCACGCACAGGGACACTAATTGCTACTCATGCCGGCAGAATGCTTGTGTGATGTACAAAATGAGGACCTACATCTCCCTGGTGGAAGGCCTGCGAGATCGCCTCTGCGCTTACACCAAAGACGTGAGGAAGCTGGGTCTCACTCTGAGGCAGCTGTTCATCATCATGTCGGAGAAGTGTCACGGGGTAAGACAAGACAAACGGACAAAACAGGTTTAACACAATGAGGCTCAAATGTTACCATAATATTTGTGCCATGAAGCAATCATGTAGGATTAACTCTGGTGGGACACTAAGTGAAGCACAGTGAGACAGCTGGTGGAGAATACAGAGATTAATCTTGTCATTGGTACCGTACCTTTGTTAAAGTGCCTTCACAGGCCTCATATGCATTGCCTCATATGACCAATGTCTGAAAAAAGTACGTCATAGATTAATCTATTTAAAAAAATACCACCTGCACATTAAATCACTATGCACAGGATTTTTCCTGGGGGCCAAATAACATCCCAAAGTTAGGCTATTTTGTTAAGGGTACAAATAGGGTCAAAGGGGTCCCTTGAACTCTCACCTCAAAATATCTGAATAAAAATGGGTTCTGTGGGTACCCGCATGTCTCCCCTTAACTTTAGAGGCCTTGTTCCCTGTAAATGTTTCGTTCCTTACAATCAATGTACTCCTTCAAAATAAAGTTGTATTGTCTTCTTTTTAGGGAAAAGGAAAACCAGCCTATTTAAAGAACAATGAATCGCCTAACACACATATATATATACAGACACATAACACATTAATTAATTACAATTACAATTACAATTATTACAATTGTTAATTGTAATAGTATTAGTTTATGTCCATTAGAAAATCAGTAATGTTAAGTGTAAAATAAGAAACCAAAGTACATTAGTTTGCAGTTGATCAACTCTGATATTGACATAGTTATCTACTAGCCTGTATACTACGAACGCTTCATTAAATTACTGAAGTTCAGTTATGGCTTTTGGTGTAGGTGTGCCACCCCTCTAGCCAACCTTAGGAAAGATTTCTGGGACATCACTGACTGTAACTGCGTGGACTGATAGATTTGACACTTATCTGTTCAGTTATTGCAGCTCTTTTCAAAAATAAGTAGAGTCCAGGCACAATGCATAACAGAGAATGTAACTTAAAAATAAAAATACGGTTTCCTCCCAAATTTAAAGCATCTCAAAGGTACCAAATATTTACAAAAATATTTGAATAGTGTAATTTATTTCTCTTGTCCTTTAAAATGGCAAATTGTTATTCCTTTGCTCCCCATGCTTTGTTTTCTTTGTCCCCTATGCTTTGTTTTCTTTGTTCCCTATGATTTGTTTCCGTTGTTCCCCATGCTTTGTTTTCTTTGTTCCCCATGCTTTGTTTTCTCTGTTCTTCATTCTTTGTTTTCTTTGTTACCCATGATTTGTTTTCTTTGTTCCCCATACTTAGTTTTATTTGTTCCCCATGCTTTGTTTTCTTTGTTCCCCATACTGTTTTCTCTGTTCCCCATACTTTGTTTTCTCTGTTCTTCATGATTTGTTTTCTTTGTTCCCCATACTTTGTTTTCTTTGTTCCCCATACTTTGTTTTCTCTGTTCCCCAGACTTTGTTTTCTCTGTTCCCCATGCTTTGTTTTCTTTGTTACCCATGATTTGTTTTCTTTGTTCCCCATACTTTGTTTTCTCTGTTGCCCATACTTTGTTTTCTCTGTTCTTCATGCTTTGTTTTCTTTGTTACCCATAATTTGTTTTATTTGTTCCCCATACTTTGTTTTCTTTGTTCCCCATGCTTTGTTTTCTTTGTTCCCCATACTTTGTTTTCTTTGTTCCCCATACTTTGTTTTCTCTGTTCCCCATACTTTATTTTCTCTGTTCCCCATGCTTTGTTTTCTTTGTTCCCCATGATTTGTTTTCTTTGCTCCCCATGCTTTGTTTTCTTTGTTCCCTATGATTTGTTTTCTTTGTGCCCTATGATTTGTTTTCTTTGTTCCCCGTGCTTTGTTTTCTTTGTTCCCCGTGCTTTGTTTTCTTTGTTCCCTATGATTTGTTTTCTTTGTTCCCCGTGCTTTGTTTTCTTTGTTCCCTATGGTTTGTTTTCTTTGTTCTCCATGATTTGTTTTTTTTGTTCCCCATGCTTTGTTTAATTTGCTCCCTATGATTTGTTTTCTTTGTTCCCCATACTTTGTTTTCTCTGTTCCCCGTGCTTTGTTTTCTTTGTTCCTCATTATTTGTTTTCTTTGTTCCCTATGATTTGTTTTCTTTGTGCCCTATGATTTGTTTCCTTTGTTCCCTATGATTTGTTTTCTTTGTTCCCTATGATTTGTTTTCTTTGTGCCCTATGATTTGTTTTCTTTGTTCTTCATGATTTGTTTTTTTGTTCCCCATGCTTTGTTTAATTTGCTCCCTATGATTTGTTTTCTTTGTTCCCCATGATTTGTTTTCTTTGTTCCCTATACTTTGTTTTCTTTGTTCCCCATACTTTTTCTTTGTTCCCTATGATTTGTTTTCTTTGTTCCCCATGCTCTGATTTCGTTGTTCCCCATGATTTTTTTTCTTTGTTCCCCATATTTTGTTTTCTTCCACTGTACATCTACACTCAAGTACAAGTACTGCCAAGTATTTTATTGGTACCTGATTCATACAACAAAATTCCACATGCATGGATTCTAGGATAAATTAAACAACCGTCCATTAAGGTATATTTTAAGTCACGCCTCTACTTTGTATGAGCCAAAGTCTGAGCCACTGCAGCCCGCCATGAAACAGAAAACTGAAAAAATGCATTCAAACAGACTGCCGGTTAATGGGTCACTCAGTGGGTCATTACATGGGATTAGACAGGGTTTATGATGCAGATTATGAAAAACGTTCAGTTCTCTGTGGATGCTTATTTGAGCATTCTCTCCTGAACCGTGGAGTCGGACAAGTGTGTCTGAGTTTGGTTTTCCATAAAGCCTGACATGACCTGTCTGTGCAGACCGGGCCACTGTGTCTCGACAACGGGTTGAAGTTAATTCACTTTCGCTCCAGCCATTTCAGTAAGCCTCAGTAACAGAAATAGGTTCACCTCTTATTATAGGCTGGAAATTAGTATGCATTTGATATGGATGATTTTCTGCTGAGGATTTCTCTTTGTTTCTACAGTTTCAATCCAGATAACAATGTATTGAATATGAAGGCAAGTGAAACTGAGCTGCTTACAACATGAGAAATATGAACTCTGAGTAAAGATCTTATGCAGTCACACACACCTTACCTATTTCATCTTTCTTTTTTTTGTTTTTTGAAATAGGACTTGGTGTTCACGATCTTTGACTGCTCTGCTCTGGAGCGCTGACATACTGGATCCTGAGGCAACAGTATAACAGTCTGACAGCAGTACAGCCTGTCTATGTACATTCTTCAAGCATGTGCAGTCACTGAGAGACACAAGACTGATGTTGAGTTTAAATCTATGATAAGTATGGCTTATGTTACCAAAAATGTATTTTAATCATCTGTTGTCTGACTATAATGGGGTTTATCACATCTGTCCTATGCAATTTCACTGAGGAAATATTTCATATAATAAACTTTATCAAAATGCCTTTCATTACTCTCTTTTAACATGATGTTGGGTAAAAAAAAAAGTACACAAAGCTTGTTAGTGGTTACGTGCAGCAAACTACAATATTGTCAAGTTTTATCAAAATTCATCTTAATTAAAGGGCCAGTGTGTAAAATGGGTTGAAAACAGTGACATGTAGCGTTTAGATTCTAGATTGCAGCGCTCACTTGCTTGCCTGTGCTCACCCCTCCTGTCGGCAAACTTACGGTGGCCTCCGAGGACCAAAACACTTTGGAAAAATGACGTCGTCCGCGAAGAGCAGCGTCTCTGCCGGTAACATATCCGAAGCAACGAGCTTCGAATGAATGAAGTGAAGATCTAAACCATATTACGATACGTTATCAGTGAGAGGTTAGGAGTGTTTTATTGCTCTGGTAACATGAGCAAACATTAGCGCAGTAATGCTAAATGAAGTCATGGCACAGTGCGGCAAATAATCGTCAGGTTGGTAGGATAACTGTTAACGTTACATATTATAATATGTGTTTGCAGAGTGATTTTCCACAGGAGACAGGGAGAGGAGGGAGAGGGAGAGGGAGAGGAGGAAGACGAGGGAGAGGAAGAGGTGCAGGAAGGGCAGGCGGCGTGCCTCAGCCACGGAGAGGGAAGAGGAGGAGGGGAGGATGTTATGCCTGTTATGTCTTTGACATAAGACTAAATTTTTTGCAAGTGTTTTACAGTAATTGCTCTATCTGGAGATGATGTAACTTTACAAACTCTCCTCCTCACTCCCTACTTGTCGAGTCCGACAAGTAATGCTATTATACTAGGTGCTGACAAACAGTAGCATTTATTTTAGTAGTTTACCTGTCCAGCAGAAAACATGCCACTTCAGCGTCAGATTGAAGCCCTTTGTCCTTCATGAACCCCCTCCATCGCTGAAAAACATCACCGATGTTTATTCTCTGCCACCGCTTGTCCCGTTTTCTTTGCCCCTCTTTGCGTAGTCTTTTCCTCGCAGATGACGGTTCGGGTTCATTCTCTCCTGTTGCGTGGTAAGTGTGGTCCATTCGCAAACTTAATAACTAAAAAAACTTTAACTACTCTCTATCGACAAACTACTAACACACTCTGCTGTTTCCTCCTTCTTCTTCCTTCCTTCCGCTGTCTTCTTCGTTGGTTTATTTATACACGTGAAACGCGTTCCCTGGCTGGCTGGATTGTCCGCTCGGGCTGCCGTACATACATGGCGGTGCAAGATGGTGACCTCTCTAAAGCAAGGCCCTTGCTATATATATATGTATATATATATAAAAGCATAATTATAAGGCTATGAAAACCAAACAAATTTTATTTTATAGCGATTATACACTTATATGAACATATTAATGGATAGAATATTCAGATTCAGATTCAGATTTGACAATAAACCATGCCAAATATTACACACAGACCCTTTAACAAAATCATTGGACGCCTACTAGCTCACCTGGTGGAGCGGGCACCCCATGTGCAGAGGCTATGTCCTTGACAGCCATGGGCCATGTAAGGGCTTTAAGAGGAAGAGAAAGTGCATCAAGGTAACATGCTGGAACTTAATTGGGTTGGGCAGTTTTGTAGTTATGGGAACAATACAAAGTATACACAGATATATACAGCGATGACAAGTCATTAGTGTGAGGGGATTAGTGGAAACCTCTGTGGGCTTGTATGGACATGCATGAGCTTGTCTCTTTACTGTCAGTTCTCTGAGGATTTACAGAAGGAAATCTCTCTTTCACTTTGTATCCAGAGTGCAAAGTGACATTAGAGAACATTTAACAAAGTGGGTGCTTTAGCATTAATTTTGGACTAAGATAACAAGACATATGTGGCTCAAATTAATAAATATGAGATCCAATTACCTCTAATTAGAGTGAAAAATATCCTGAAACAAAGCTGATGTTGAAACACAACATACCAAATTATGATTTACAACTCATTTAAACAGCTCAGTGCCACCAATCTTTCTGTCCATAATTGGTGATTGAGCAGATTGTTTGGCTAATTTTTCCATAGAATTCCAAGAGATAATTACTCATGCAAATCGGGCGGTAAATGATGTTTATTGAGACTGATTCTAAAGTGCTTTATGCACTCTGAAGGGAAATGTTACCTGAAGTTTATTGAAAAGTATGAATATTGGTTTGAGTTCCATGTTAATGAAAATAATCATTTGTACGGAGAACAGTGCATCAGTCACTCCTCAGTAATTGACTTTAGCTCGCACACATTTTCCTGAGTTTAATAACACAACACTCTTTTCTTTCCAATTTCTTTCAGTTTTTTTCTCTTAGCTTGTCAACGTCTCATCTTCATCATGGAAAAAGGTTGTTGATAAATATTTTTCATCATAGTTTCAATAACAAAATTAGTATTGCTACTTGCATCACATTAAGTGTAACTTAACAAACATACTTATTTTAACCCAAACCTTTATTCCTTTCCTAAACCTAACCAAGTAGTTTGTTGCCTCAGTTAGTTTTGGTGCAGAAGTTTATTTTGAAAAGTCACTGTATGCATGTAACAAGCAGAAAATGTATGTTTCCTGTGAACATAGAAGTTTATTTTGAAAAGACACTATCATATAAAGAGCCGAAACTGACACCTCCAAAACGAATGCTGGAGGGGTATCTTGAGCATCATAGTTTAAAGTGTAGGTCTACTGACCAAGCTGCTGTATGTGACGAGTTGGGAGTGACAACTTGTTGGCCAATATAACAAACATGTTAATAACATTTATAAATATCTTAACTTGTTTCTGTTTAAGATTCTGTCCCTGTTTCTGTAACTCTTGCTCTGGTGTTAAAACACTGAGGTGTTGAAAATCAAACTGATCAGCAAAGACAAAAACTATTTTAGACTTCATGTTCAAATACACCCCATGATCATAATCATGTTTTTCTTTCTTCTATTTCTCTTTGCTAGTTTATCCTTTATTTAAACAGGAACAGGAACAGCCTTAGACCAACAAACACAATACAAATACACAGTTACCTGTCAGCACACTGTTGTGATTATAAAGGGCTGCAAGTGAATATTTTCATAACTGATTCATCTGATTGACTGTTTATTCTGTAATATTATGAAAAATTAAAATTTCAGCTTCCCTAGAAACTCAAGGTGATTTCTTCATATTGTTTACTTTGTCTGACAAACAGGCCAATAAACAAACAAATTCAATTTAAAATTATATCAAATAAGAGAAGTAAATCATCACAACAGAGTTTAGTTGGCATAGTTTGCTTTTTTCAAAAATTCATTTCAATTCAATTTTTAATCCTGAAGGAAATTCTTGTGCCAGAGAAGGCTTCAAATTACAGTAATAACAATTAACGTTCCCAAACCAGTTCAACCATGGGGTGTCGGTAGCATAGTGGACAGTGCTGGTGCCCCATGTACAGAGGCGATGCCTCACTGCAGCGGTCGCAGGTTCGATTCTGGCTTGCAACCCTTTTCTGCATGTCATCCCCCCACTCTCTCTCTCTCTCTCCCCATTCCACACTGTCCTGTCGATTAAAGGCAAAAAGCCCAAAAAATAATCTTTTAAAAACCAGTGCAACCAGTGGGTTCCACAGGTCAGAGTCACACACCGGGCCCAGTTTTTAAAACAACAGAGTATCAAGTATCAGACAAAATATGCAAGATACAAAGTGTTTAAGGAGCAAAAAGCAAAAACCAGTGCCTAATAGAGTAACAGGAGTAAGATAAGTACAAGAGTTACTAAAAGTGAACTAAAATGGTGGAAAAATGCAGATTGGGCTAATACTAAACATTATATTGTATATGAAATAACAGGAAGTAGTATTGCACAAGATTTTGATTTTGACAAAAGTAATATTGCACAAGATATTCAGTTTACATCATGTAAAAAGACGTAGTGCATCTAATGTAGGAGAATATTGCTGTCAGTGTCCTTTTTCCTTCAGCTGTTCTCCCTACAGAAGGGGGCAGGAGTTATACAGTTTGATGGCCACAGGTAGCAAAACTCGTCTGTTGCGTTCTGTCGTGCTCCTGGGTGGTCTCATCAGTGTGCTCCGATATGACTCCAGAGTGGCATGCACGATGTGAGAGGCGTCGTCCAGAATACTGAATAGTTTTCTTCGCATCCTCCTCTCTGACACCTCCATTTAAAATGTGTGTTATTTGTGGATAGTACCACTATTCTGTGCTCTGGAGAGGATTTACAGCTGCTTTTGATTAAGATCACAACAGAAATTAATAAACTGAAAAGATGGTTTGACAAAAACAAACTGTTGCTACATTTCACAAAGACCAAAATGGTGTTATTTGGAAATCAAAAAACTGATATGCAAGTGCAAATTAAGACATATAATGTTTCTTTAGAAAAAGTGTGTGAAAATACATCTCTGGGAGTGATAGTGGATCACAAAATCAGCTGGAAACCTCAAATAAGTCACATTCAATGAAAGCTGGCAAGGAGCATTGCAGTTATGGAAAATCAAGACACATACTGGACCATACATCATTTTATATCATCTACTGCTTACTCATTTTACTGCATCTTAAATACTGTGTGGAGATCTGGGGTAGCACCTGTCAAAGCAATTTATATACATTACACATATTTTTATGTGGAGGGAGCACACGAACACACACTGTTTTTAAATAACAAATAATGTACAAAGCAAGAAATAATCTGTTTCTGGGCAATATTCAAAAAATGCTTTGTGACAGGGAGGGGAGATATAATGTAAGAGGAAAATTAAATCTAAAAAAAACACTGTGTTCGTACACTTGATTTCAATTCAGTTCAGTTGTAATTATAAAGCCCACTATCACAAATCCCAGTTTGCCTCAGAGAGCATCCCTCTGTCCTTGGACCCTCACAGAAGACAAGGAAAAACTCCCCAAAAAAAAACCCTTTTAACAGGAAATCAAAAATGGTAGAAACCTCAGGAAGAACAACTGAGGAGGGATCCCTCCTCCAGGACG